TTCGAGAGGAGGATCTTTCTCTCCCAAATCTCTAGATGCCGCTAGAGCCCAAAGAAATTAAGAGATCTAAAATTTCAGCCAAATTCAATATGACCTAACCTAAGGAAAACAAACTATTTAATGCATAGTTGCATACAATTCAAAAGGAAATCCCTACATTCAAATTTCCCTCCTAACTCCCTCAAAAATCCTTCCTAAACTGCTCTCGCAGCTTGGGCGGGCGATCGGCGCGTACAAGAGACATGAAACACTTCCGCCTCTATTACGCATGGACCGGTCTACTACTGGTCTAACACATTCGCCTTGTCCGGTACACTTTTGTATATCTATGTGGTTAATCAAGACACATTTTGGTCCTCAGCTGTTGGAGAATTTGTATAAACAGCCAGGACAGAGGTTCCAGAATTTTACAGATAGGAACTTTATCAACTGGAAGGAAGGGATGTGGAGAGTCCGGCTACAACAACAACAACAACAACAACATCAAGCCGGCTACAACAAAAAAAAAAATTATTCTAAGGTTTTTTTTTTTTTTTTTAATGTTAATCTTGCCTTCCATAACGTAGCAAAGTGGATAGTACTATTTCAGTGGAAGTTTCAGGTTAAGTTTTTGCTGAGAATTAGATTCTTCTGCATATATACAAATCATAAGATTTATTTATGTTGCTTTGATGTTTTTAGGGTCCTGGGAGGAAAAATTATTCCGTGCAGATACCGAATGTTGTTCGGAGCTCAATGAAAATGCGTCACGTCACCAACTGCTCAGTACTGAATGATGTGGTTGTACTTGATTCGCCTTTGGACGATAAGCTGTTTTTGATGTCCTGAAGAGAGAACTTCGTGAAGACAGTCTGCAGGTTGCTCGAGTATGGCATCAGGAGACATTCAAATGGTGTTTTTAATGTAGTTTTGGGACAAATTATGCTATGAAATCAGTAGTTGAATCCTGTATTGATGGAGCAGTGGATGGGGCAATTTCCGGGAACATTATAAATGCAGTAATGACAATAAAGATAGAAGCTGCACTTCAGTTTGACAGATGGAATTATAAGTATCTGTGGCGGCATTATCAAGTGATTATATCTTGAGATTTTAGTTGAAGGGAGAACATAGTGGAAGATTACTGGCACCACTAAAATTCGTCAATTCTGTAGTATTTTATAACAGTTCTTAAACGAAGGACTAAAATACTCTTTAGATATGATATAGGGGCTGTTTGGTTGTCTGAAAAAGGAATGTAGTGTGAAAGCAATCATTTGGAGTTGTTTGTATGATTGTAAAAGAAGTGCGTGAGATTAATTTTTTTA